TTTCACAACATTACACATTGCCGGGTGTACACGAGCGGAATAGATCTTAAATTACAAAATTCCTCAAAAATAGTGGAGACTCATTATCCGTAAAAATGGGGAACTTAAAGATCCGCTCCAAATTCATCCTGGTAGAGTGTACTCACATATGGAACAAGCTACCATTGAAAGTACGGGCAAGTGAGAACCTAAACAACATTAAAATGAACGGGAACTTTTCTCAACATACAGAGCATAATGAAAACATTCGACCTTCAAGTGTCAACAGATGTGTTAATTTCATCAGGTCCAAACAATATATGACCAATAATGCAAGTTCGTCACATTCCAGAACAGGTTAACTTTGTGCTCGAAAATGCTACTCATGAAGTTCCACTTGTAGGTGGAGAAACAAAAAGGTGTATCTCGCTTTATCTCTCCAATGAATAATATCAATATTCTACTATGCTATGGCATCCGGATAGTTTGTACCACCTAGTACGTATTGAAAGGAGAAGCCAATTCATTAATAACTATACCTGCTATTCTAAACTTCTGGAATATTTTATCACATCCAATCATATGGCATCCCACAATGTCGCGAGACATGCTATTTGGCTACTTATTTCGTTGATATTTCTACCCTTTAATCTAACTATTTCATCTTATTCTCCTGTTATTCTGTTGGTCACGAGTAGGCCGATCTTCTGAGATGATGGTATGAAGCTTCTAAGCAACATGTGTACCTACGCCAAAAGACCCATTGGTGAATATAAAAAGTACGCAGAAATTAAAATACAGTCTAATCTGAACTGATGAACTCACACTTAATGGCAAATGACGCCAACCGGTGATCCCGGTCATCATGCACGCACAAAACTATGGATGACGGAAGGGCTGACTGGTTCGAGTACGTAGCTCACCAAAAAAGAAAACAATTGCCCAAATGATGAATAAAATTGGTAGTGGCCAGCGTGCTACTAAACCACACTGATACATGACCAGATGGGGCGTGGAGGTCCAAGTGAAACCTCTCGAGGGACTACTCTTCATAGAAACAGGTTCCCGGGAGACGGTGCCAAGAATGAGCGTAGTATTTCACTTGTTCTTTCTTACCCTACTTCATTCTGCACTGAATCTGTTGTGCTCCTGGATCCTAGTTACTTCATCCCTACCGTTCTACTGTCTTACCGATATTTCCCATTAAGTTATTACTCAGACCATAGCCTCGCTCTTAGTTGTGGTGCATTTCCTCTCTATAACTACACCAAAACTCGCATAATTATTGCACACTTTCTTAATCACCCTGTCTTTGACATCTTCTACAAGACTACGATGCACTGAATAAGTCCTGACTTTGCAGTGAGTAGGCGCTTATTCCTTCGGCTACTTATCTGTTTAATTCTCCCTTTTCAACATTATCTTTACCGTGCATAGTCAGGCACGCCTTAAATATCCACCTACAAGTGAAGGCTGAAAAAAATGCAACTTAGCTCACGCAGCATCTCAGCCATCCGGCAGCCCAAAACACAACTTGTTTAGTTCAACTCCATAATTAGACTAAGGAATGTCTAGACATCATGCTGTGCCTTAACTCCCTACGATATGAATACAGCCTTTATTATTCTGATAAAGCAACGAGTATGATGATCCACTGGAGTTACCTTAATATAGTATTTTCCTTATTTTTACGACTCCCTAACTGGCTACTCACAAATAGCTCCAACCTTATTACTCCAGTCTATTAAGTATGATTGTCTATTACCCATCTGGTTTTGATTGCTGAATCTAACCGTTTCATCCTTTGTATACTCTCTCTCCCTCCACATCAAACCGCCGCCATCATGACACACCAAACTGCACCGAAAACAACCAAATGAGAATGCCCACGAACTGGTAGTATACGGCGACAAAAGTCTCAAATGAAAATATTCGCAAAAGCGTCTCTATTGTGATCATGTAAACACCCAAACAATTGACAGCCTCGCATGCCTGAGCATGTTGTAATGTAACTATGATCCATCTTTTTGTGAGCTCGGTTTCTCAGTACCACGAGAAATATACACTGTTATTATTAGTATTAATGTTAGTAGTATTATTATTAGTATTATTATTAGTGGTAGTAAGTAATAATAGTATTAATATTATTAGGAGATCACTGTCACTGAATAAAGACCTGGGAGCTAGTAATGACTTGTGTTACGTCATCCAACCACTCATTAACCAACATAAAATCTACATACTAAGGCTTGGGTGCAACTGAATCGGAACCACCGTCGTAAGGGCGTCTACATGCAGTTCGATGCGGTACATTTTGATCGGGAACATGTATACCGGAACTCGACAAAGTGGTGCCTTGGAATAACTCCTCTTTGGCCATAAAAGTGTTCTGTAGTCCAGCCCTGTCGCCGTAGCTGGTCACTCTGTCTCCGTGGTAAACGGTAAGCGGCAATCCCCTGGAGTAGGTTAGTGAAACAACGAAACCCCAATTTTGGCCGACCGCTGTGGAATGCAAATCGCACACCACGAGACACACCATAAACTAATCATACTCCTCCATCAAACGGTATTTATTCCCTGTGCCCAATCTGTCCGAAGCGACGACGAATGATGGAATTTCAGTTTTTTGATTGCGCCTGATTCACATAAAAGACGAGATTTGGAAGGCACACAAACTTCGTCGATCTGATTAACAATGTCTGGGAAAGCGATTTGAGATTCACGTGGCTGCAATGAGATAGGCTGGAACAGGAGTACCCCGCCGCGCCTGCTAAACACACGTCAAACCACTTATCCGACTGAGAACCCCCTAAAAAGCCGCATGATCAACGTTTGCTGCATCCTTTGTACGGGACGCAGGTGTGCTGGTCGCCAGTTTGATATGCCTGGTTTGAACCTAACTGATATCTGCAGCGTAGTCTCAGTCTGTGATTCGACCAAACCTGATCAGCTTCCCCACACTGAGATACCCTTGGAGCACTCTATGTGAAACCGGTACGACGGGACAGCTGATGCGGTTCCCAGGTTCAAAACAGTTTGAAGCATTTGCAGTCGCCCATCATGCTGCAGTTTGAGCAGTTGGGGCCCCAAAATGATTAGTCTGAGTTATTATGTAATATCAGGGGGAGAAATTCCTAGTGTGTCCGTTCGATTGTGTTATAACCCACCCACTTGATAAATGGTACTGTGTGCGTGTGATATCGTCAAAATACCTGACGCTTTGACGATATCCGTGCAGTTGACTGTCGCTTAACCGTGCCACGCAGTTACACCGTCGAGAGATCAACCAGTAGTGGAACAAGAATTACCGGTAGATTTTGGCGGCTCGGATGGCCGACTTTGTCTCCGAAGATATGTGGAACCACAGAAGTAGAATAAAAAGCGACATACTTAGCGAAATGAAAATCCGTATAACCCCTAGGTGATGATCACTTACATCTAAGCACTGTTCCACTGAGCGAATGTGACTTACATCTATCGGACCTGGGGCATATGAGACAGGGATAGTCGAAATGAATGACCGGTAGCCAGGCCGTATCACCCTCGTGAATGGTGGCCGAGAGGTCTGCCATGTGATGATGCATGGGACATCGTTATCACCAAATAAAGTTCCTCCATGACTTCCTAGTCCGGAGGTCACCGCTTTTTTCGACCACGCAGTGTAGCTGCGTTATTTTTATGCCCAGATCCCTCGTGGTTGCTGAATCAAGTCAGAAGGTGCTTTATGCACACATGAAAAGTGAATATTCAGCTGGGCTCATCAGTAAAACTCGTACACTATCCCGAAAGTAAAAAGTGTGCGAATGGCGAAACAACTGATTATTGAATAAAGATATGTTGAAATAGGTTGCAATAAGGATAGCGATATTGTACACATCTGAAAGAGATTGAAGAAAAAGCAACCTCTCAACTCTGACCGCCGATGTCCGTGATGTTCCACTCAACGCTGGTGGGAGTCGAGTGACCAGATCTGATGTCTACCAGGTCCGGTGTTTAACAATGGAAGCCTTCGATGATCTATTGATCTAGAAACAACAGCTAAGCCGGCTGAGTTGTCCGTCTCCCCTGTTCAACGACCTCACTCTGATGCATGCTCTGTGTCAACACTGCAACAAATCGGGAGCTGTCTTAAAATGGTCGGTCATGGCATGGTAAAGGACTTGAAGACGCTGGTCTAAAGTTGGTTCGAGTGGTCATGAGGCACACGAGATTGACGACATAACCGTCAGTGGTACAATTTCATTCCGTTCCTCACTTCCTTCTTTTCACCCCGTGGCGGAGCTGTACGCTATCGCGAGCGTCCCCGGGTTGCGGATTGGGAAATGTCTTCCTTGTGGAGGTAACTGCGAATAAATTTCGTTTGCTTTGCAGGCGAGATGAATAAACAGTCGCGGACAATCAGCGGCAGCGTCTCAGAGCGTGGGGAGTTCTGGGCGGGTCACCTGGTTCTCCATTAAATGCCACAAGTGCTCGCACAGCGCTGTGTCAAAGCCAATGTGACCGGCTATAGGGTCACTGACCAATCACTCCTGTAACTGAGGATGAGTATCTAATGTAGGGCGGATGAACAACCTCGTTGGTCACCGGCTTCTCTGTGGACTGCTACTGAACACAAAGAAAGCGAATGAGCCACTTGACTATCAACGGTCTTCGTGAATCACCCCACTGCCTTGTGGGTCAGGTCTTTAGACCAAAGGCTCGTGGTCGGCGCCCTTAAGTCAACTCTCTTCCTCGGCCTGCGGAACCGGGAAGCTCAATGCCCATACAACACATGGAACTTTGCTTCCAGTCCTCGTATTCACTCTCTCTTGTTTTTATTGTTACTCATGTGTTGTGGCACTGCCAAAGGTTTACTGGGCCGGTGTTAAATACAATATAGATACATACAATCCTTCTTTTCATGACTCGCATCTGGGTATTATTTATTTATTTATTTTCGAGTAGTTTTTTATTGTTGTTTGTAGACTTGCTTCAGCGTTTCTAATTGTTATGGACGTCGCGTCAATAGGAGAGAGAGAGTAGGACAATCCAACAAACGCTTGGTGTTCAAATCATACAAATTAAGCAAATCGAATCGAACCGTTTGTACTGGAATAGCACCTGGAATACCCAAGGAGTACTTTAATTCTGAGTATGTTTTGTAAATTCTGACCACAGATCTGCCAAAAAGTTTAGCTGTATGTTAAAGTGGACAAGACCACAGTGGCAAATATGCATCTATCATGGGGTGAGAAATTGTCACGCGAGAAAAAATGGCGAATTCAAAGTATTTATCGCTTTCTCACAGAAACGCAAAACAAATGTATGGCGACAGAAATTGCAATGCACTGGACTTCTCCATCAAACCACGGACATTGAGTGCACAACCAATTCGATATGCAAACGGTGAGCATCGTTGGAGAAAAGTCAATTCAAGGAGCTTCTAACGCCTGCGGTTTGGATGGTGTGTGCTGGTGGTTTGGGGGCATATGTGGGCACACGGTGTGCTGGAGAGCACTTTGTCGCTAGCAAGGGGATAGAGAGGCGATCGGCGCATCGATACAAATGAGGAATTCAGCTGAACAACGCCAAAATGCTACTTCACGCATCGGACGGTGTAATGTTGCAATTCGGTGTTCCCATGGCATGCATTGTTAATTATTTACAGATGGCTATAGTACATATCACAGCATCACTCCGTCGTTGTGCGTGTCCATGAGTGTATGTGCTCGCATGTCCGACATCACAAAGGTGACTTCCAGTTGTGCCACAAAAGGTTATACGCGATTTGATCCTCTGGTCGTAAACGACAGCGGTCTCTTCCCAACGGATCCACAATGTTCGGTAAGCCGAGGCCGTCTTCAATCGAGTCGTAACTCACTCCGTCTGGCTGGTCACCTTCGATGGGACATAGCGATCGGAGTCGTCCGTTTACGAAGCAAGTCAGTGGGATGGTTAGGTAGCGAAAGGCTAATGCTGCCACACGTGGATATCCGGCTGATTTTTCGACCCACCAGGCAAGGGGATCTTCTTCCAAACCGATTGGGTCTTCGCGAAGATATCTATCAACTTCCGGCAGCGAAGATCTGGGGAAGCTCTGAAGTCCAAACACATTTTGTAAGTCTGCTTTGTCTGACGAACTTCTCACACGACCTGCAGATGAGGAATCGCTAGAGTTGGAGGTGGTGCGTGTTGCCTCATCCGAAGTCACTGGAATGGACTCCAACTGATGAGAAGAGAAACGACATAGGTAACATTTCAATAGTAAATAAATTTGACCAGGTTATACGCGATCTAGATGTGTAATAACATAGAATGTTCATCAAATCACTGAATACCTTGCTTTTCAATAATTTCACGGTGGCCGGTAATTTCTCTTGCACGTGTTCTTTGAAGCGTGGATCTAACAGACTGGAAAGTTGTAATACTTCTCGGACAGTTTCGTTGTCAGAAAACAGCGCTTTCAGATGCTGTGACAAAGTTACTATGAATTCGTCAACCGCGGTCGATTCTGATTGATCGTCCACGTCATCGCTTGAAACCAGATAAGTATGTTGCAGGTTTTGCAATATTGGCCCAATCATTGAGGCTGTCAGAATGAGGTCCTTACGATGAATCAGCTCAAGAGTTTGATTCAACGCCTGTAGATAGAAAGACAGATGGAATGAAGCGAATTAGGCATGGAAGTACCCAGGTGACGGAAGCATGTCCTTGTGAACGGAATCAGACAGTTAAGTTAGGGAGTAAATAATTGTTAGCCTAAGGATTGTGTTTTGAAATCAGCGGTTGTTTGAATCAGCCGAATCGAGGTCATTCGAAGGTCACGTGAGGATAATTTGGTTCTGTAGGGTGGAGTGCAGTAGTACAGCTGATAGCGATCGACCGAGCACGAAAATGTCCAACATCCTCCGAAAGGAATTTATGCTCTTACTCTGATCCGCTATGCCGAAGACAAACCATAGGACGTTTAATTCTGGGAAAGACTACAGCTGACGTGCTCTAAACTATTTATAATCCCAAGTGTAAGACGGAGGAATAAGAAAAGCAAGGCACCTAAGTCAAATCCAACATGCATACGTGTGTGGGAGTGTTGTCACCGACACCCTCTGCGCCCTGCAGTTGCGCAGCCAAGTGGTCCACTGCGGTAACTACGTGTCAACTGGAGAAAAGTACAACTGGTACGGAGCAGCAATCTTGTTACTCCAGAAAACCAAATATCTGGGATGGGAAAAAGCCACAAAAATTAGAATCCATCAGAACATACTTCGTTTATATGAGAATGAGCGGAGCATTTCAGCATTCAGGTAAGTGGAAAAAATTCCCCACCCTGAATAACAACGTTGCGCCTCATCTCCACGCTTAAACACGTAGACAAGAACTTTCACTTGTCTCGGACCCATCCATGTAGGTCACGTCTGGTTAAGTTATTCGTAAGAGGATCAGTTACAGACACAAATACACACATTTCAAGAATCCTTTCTAGCATGTCTTCCTGTGTAACCACAGAACCATGAGCGAGAACCACAGAAAATACACCTTCAATGATAGTGAGGTTTAAATACTGTGTACCATGATTAGTTTGTATAGTTACCGTAGTATGCTTACCTCCAGAACGGCTTGGAGCTGCTTCAGTAATTGTAATTCCATCGGATCCATACATGGAGCTGGCTCTAACTGGTTCAGCTTCTTCAGTAGACTATACACACTTGCCCATGACGTGAACGGCATAGGAGCGCATGTCTCGCCAGCGGGATGACCTTCGTCAGTTGCTGAATCACGAGTATGCGCCCAGACACTGTCAGTTGGCCGGGGCTGTTTTGCGTCCGGCGACCGTGGGGAGCCATTCGAAAGGGGTACAGTGGATAAGATGAGTCGCCTGGCGTTGTTCAATAGGTCCTGGATACGAGGTAACTTCAATCCAGCCTTCAAGGAGAGAAATAAAACACAAAGAATAAGACAACCGGAAATAGGTGAGCCAATTGCGACATATGAATCATGAGTAAGACCTTACAAAAGAGTTCGAATATATCACGCCAAAATCGACTTATTCTCGCAGCCCAGAAATAATTACAAATTTAACATCGTCAATGTCAATGCCGTTATTGGTATTCTCTAACTGATCGCTGAGTGTTCACGGGCATTGAAGTGGAAACATTGGAACTCAAGCAGACCAAAAAGTAGTCTAACGAAGCAATCGGGGATTGCAGTCACCAGCGAGTGGGAAACGGTAGTGATATCACATCAGGCGCGCCAAATTTGACGACAAGAATACTTTTGAGGTCCCGCAGCCCCATTGTCCACCGAACCGACACACACAGGGCGTTCGAATGATCTCACAGAGCACAAAATAGCCTGAACTAGTAGAGGACCAAGTTGGCTTTTCGTGTGTTGATTTGATCGTCAAGTGGTGGACAGATCGCCATGATGGGAAACCACAGGCGCTGACCCTCTCGAAGCTGGGTACTCTAGTCAACATAGTTTCAGTCGCCAGCTATTCCTTCTCTTTGGCTACCACATTCTGCAATTGACCCAGTAGCAGCTGTAAGGTGATGGTGGTGTCCGACTAATGCTTCTAAGTACGTTCCGTGTTGGTAGTTGGTAGATGTGAAAAAGTTCGGAGGCAAAAGCAAGATGAATCGTTATGACAGGAGCAGTCAAATGTGTGTCATTTGGTGGAGATAGTCGTCAGTTTTCTTGGCAGCTCAGAAGGATGGCTTGTAGCTATTGTTTCAGTTTGTGCTCAACGCTGAATGCGAACAGCCACGGGACTTCGCCTGCGCACAGAGAGAGACAACGTTGAATGGTTGGTGAAACCACCCACACACCGTAAACCCAAGAATAGGACAGAGATCTGGGCGGATGGTGTGGACCGTTGGTACTGAAGCTGTCCACAATCCTTCAATGCAAACATTGACAATGTAAAAGTTGGTGGAATGCATTTCGTGTATCCAGATAATAGTGACAGAGTAGTAGCCCGCTCTACGGTGGAAACACTTTGAGCATAATATCATTACAAAGATTATGCATATCGTCTCCACCGAGAACAATTAGTAGGGTCATGGAGCCAGTGATCAAGATGGGAGTATCGAGCAGGTAGACATCTTGTTGACAACGGAAATATGTGCCACCAGACTTAGCATAACACATGAGAATAAATCTCGGGAAGATGATGAAACGCGATCATTGACGCATGTGTAACCGTACTGCAAACGTCGCGCTATTATATCGGGATTGCGAAAGGAGTTACAGCTTGCAATGTACCCTAGAGTACACTGTTGGAAGCAAGTAATCAAAATACCAGCAGAAAAATAACAGAGGACGAAATCACATAATCACGTCTACTGGGAGACGTATGAACGGCGTCGTGTCAACTGTAAGTGCTTTTGGACAAGTTGGCAGTTACCGCTCCAAGGTCTACCGAAGTTTTTACGAGTGGAGTCAACAGGATGCGTTGCCTTGCACAACCAAAGAATTTGTGAAGTGTTCCAGTCGTGCGGTGAGTTCTGGGATTCGACATGTAGTTGAACTTCACCCCAATTTCTGCAGTACGGCCTTTGGGAACAAAATCTGACGGTTCAACCAGATGGTATTGATACAGGAGAATTACAAGATTTCGCTAGTAGATTTCCAAAAGGTGTGATAGGCTGGATTGTGGTGTCTGTATCAGTATACACTCATATTTTTGAGGGCAGCGGACAGTATAGAAGCAATTTCCATGAAAAGGAAGGCGTGACCAATGAGATAGCTGTCGGTAACACCAATCCACGTGAAAGTGGACGGACACAAACACCGGGGGAAGATAGGGAGCCGAATTCGGAATTGGCAGAGCAACACATACTACTTTTGGAATTCGCACGGCTGTGCAACCACACGAAATTGAATAGAGGTGACAGCCCATCATCATTATGGAACGGGTGGAAGAGGGGGGCTCGACACAGAATACATGATAATCACTGGCTCGCCTTGTCAGCACACCAAAACAATGTGACCGAGTCGAATTGGTGTCATATGAATATCCACCAGTATGGCGCTGATACCTTACAGCTGCTAGTTCTAGCCTTAAGTATTTGAATAGTATCGCCTGTAGATAAAAAATATCCACTAGTCATTTGAATGGTACAAAATGACAAAGCTAAGCGGCCAACGAAATTGCAGTACCGCTGTCAAAGTAGCCGAAACAACGCCACGCGGTTTATTGTCGCATGTATCGAAAAAAGCCTTGGAGTGGATAAATGAATTTCCACGAGTAAACTCAAACCGGGCTAATAGTTCCTAGCATCGGTGCCTCGGGTTAGCTGTGTCCTCTAGACACATTACCAGTGCACGATCCCTGCCATATCCTCTTCATTTTTTAGTGGATCTCTGCGTTGAAAACCATGCGAGTTGAGGCGTTTCCATTTGATTTCCTCTTTCTTTGCTGTAGATTTGCCATTGCGGTGGTTCATTCCCTTGATGCCATATCTGTGGTAGGCCTATATTAGGAAACGCTGGAGGTATGAAAGCCGATGGGCAAACGTCCGACGTCCCTTACCATCGACACATTAGTACAAGTGTAGTTTGGGACTGACACCCTCACTCCATCAGACGCTATTTGATATCTATGAGTAGGACAGTTACGCTGTGGGACACGGGCTCTGAGGTGGTTGTAGACCACATCAGACATTGCTGACACAAATGACCATTGATGACGTACCACATATACTATACAGTTCCGTTGTTTGGGCTGACACGAGTGTACTCGAAGATGACCCAATTGCAATAGCACATAATTTTGGCTCATGTTTGAAATGCCATGAAAATGTCTAGCATACCGCTACCTCCCCTTTATTTTGTGACCATCGTACGTCACGTGATTCAAAAGTGTTCACTTCATGCATGGAAAGTTGCTGACGTGATGTGCATAGGCCATGTGAAGATCCTTATGTTCCTTAATCGCGATATGCTTTGACCAGAGAAAACGACAGCGGGTTCAACCCATTTCATAGTTTTTAACAGCTCCGCTGCTTGTCTCATCAAATAGGAGAAACGCTGGTTCCAAGAGGATACAGTGAACATCGTTATTGGGTTTGCAGACCCATTTCGAGCCCATTGGAAATGGGTCTACTTTTGCAAGCGATCAGAGAAACTTTGGGGATAACATCCGTGGAGCGACAACCGTGTGCATTAAAGAAGGAAAGACTATTCGTATTGTCAATTAATCGGATATAGTATTCCACCCCACCATGCTCAGAAATATTGACTCTACGCATGGTTGGTAGGTCGCTTTAGGCTTCGACCCCGGGGATGGAATCGTTTGGTTGTCTTTGGTGTGGTTCGTTCCTAATGCCGCACCATGTAATCGGTTTCACCCTAATTTTGGACGTGGAGATTGTCGTTAAGCCTACGCATCGCCATATCTTCATAAGCCATGTGAGCATTGCTTATCACAACAAGCAAACTAAGCGGAATTGTACTCGTCCATCGTTGTGTAAAGGTCAGTTTGTAGGTAGCCAACCAGAAGAGTCTGTTTCAGCGATCATTTTCGTTGCTTGGAATCGAACGATCTTATGAAGTTCACCTATCATCATCGTTAACCCGCTTTTAGTCGGAAAACACGTAGGCTTCGGTTCAGGAGTGATAGCTAAGTGTACGTTTTGCGACTGGCGAAATAGTCCAGCCTTGTGATCCACCGGACAACAGTGACCATCGTTACTCACAGTCCGACACGTCTCTAGTCCGTGTATTCTTTAGAGGCAGCACAAACACAGATGACCAAAAAAACAAGAAAACTTTCGGGGTACGATCAGAAACAATTGTTCATGTGACACTGGAGGAACGCAGATGACCTCATTTCCTTTGGAAGATGCGAACTGATGGCCTCCTCGTGACTGCCGATGTAAGTACGGATGTCAGTCACGGTTGCTAAAATTGGATGCGGTGTGTTAAGCGCATATGACTGCGTGGGCGGCGGGTTACACGTAGGCAATAACTGCGAGGTCGCGCACACGTAAGTTCTATGATTTGAGAAGTGGATAAGTGCGATGTACATGCACACGAGTACCCGACGTATTCGTGCATCGCCGCTTCATTGACATGTACCAACAGAGCGGTCAAGACAGGCATCCATACGAAGACGCAAGGCGTCCTGTGAGAAAAGTTAGATTGTGCAACCGGCCAGGCCACACACAGATCGCTGTTCTTCTCAGTTTCCGTGGCATGATGTACGGTTAAAACAGTCATTTTAAATTTCGGAAAGTGATGGTGATTCCTAAACTATAGATTTACACAATTTTCATCCCTATCTCAAACATGATATTTGCTGCACTTTGGTAGTCCACTCCAGTCTCTTTTGAGTTACATTTTCCGTTTGCTGTTCATTCCAAGTCAAGAAAGCTACTGAAACTGGCACTGTAAGAATCGATTTTGGGTACTGCTGTTGCCATAGAATGTTAAGGTTGAAGCAGATGTTTAGTTGGCCCTGCGTGAGAAGCTATTTTCAGCATAACTGGGCCACGACAAGACCACACAGTTCCCTGCTGCTGTAACACGCGAAGCCTACTTAGTAGCAGGGCCTCTAAATCGGCCGTTTGCTCCTCACTACAACCTCATCCTTACTCTATCTGCTGCGGATTCATCTGGTTTCACTAAACATTTTTGGTATTTTTTCGGTTACCCTCTTTAGGACACTAACGGCGTTCTCCGTTATTTTTTTGGATGGATTTTGAGATGCTGTGCGTACCTCGCGGAACTATCGATAAGCGTTTTGTAACTTGAAAAAGCTTCGGCCGGAGCGACAAACTGAGATTCGACATTGTGCCGTCGACAGGATGCAGACTCGGGACCATGTATTCGAGTGACATCTGGACTCCCAAAGCCATTTTTCTCCATTTATACAATTACGCATTTTTAACGGTGCTGTCTTAGAACATCCGCAGTAGTTATAGTGAAATGGAGTACATCCCTCCATTGTCTATTTATTGAGTGAATATTTTGCTGAACGTACTCAGATCACCCGACTCAGTGGCAGACGTTCCTCCTCACGACTCGCCAACGCAGGTGTCTTTCAGGGAGCAATGTTGTCACCTTTTCTCTTTTCTACTTACGTCAGCTCTATGCCAGTTTCAACTGGTAAAATATGCGGACGATATCTTCCTGGGCATCAATCAGCAAAGCGCCGATTGTACATTCAGACTACAAGTGCTTCTGAACGATTTTATTAGCTGGTCCAAATCCCGTGATCTGTCGCTTAATGCTTCAAAGTGCCATGACATTATTTTTCCTTACACAAAGGAGCCAGGTACGAGGAGCTCCTTAAACAGTGCAACAAGTTACATATTGATGGCGACGGATTATAATCTTCCACATTTGTAAAATATCTGAGTGTGACGTTGAGTTGCGATTTATCTTGGACGCTTTAACATAAACTTTCACAAAAGTCAGAAGGCTGTCATTCTATGCCTCTCGGTTCAGAGCCTCCTGCGTTCCTCGTGAGTTGATGGTTCGCTTTGTCAATACCTGTGCTATCCCCCATTGGACGTACTGTTCCCCTCTGATATTTCCCGGTCTTTTGGGTAAGCATTTTAAGTTAATTGTAGATCATTAAATTACTTAGCCCGATGTAGCAATGTTCCGATGTCTACTTTAACTAACACTCTTATTTCTACACATATCATTCTTGTAAAAAGCTGGCCTCTAAGATACTGACCGATACAAGCCATCCCCCTACATACTGCCTTATCTGAATGCTTACCAACTTCATCTATTAAGCAAAGTACTGGCTAATCTATGCCCGCACACAAGCTTACCGTTCGTCAGTCATTCCTTACCACTTGGTTCTTTTGCGAGACCCCAACTATGTCATGTTTGACTTAACCAGTCGACTTTCAACTTGACTGCATTGCTTGTCCTTATCTACCCGTTCATTGTCGTATTGCTTTGCCACTGATTTGCTTTTTTGGTACATTCTCGAGATCGTGTGTTGTAACTGAATATTCACCCATGTAAGGTGCATAAAGCAATTGACTGACTTGACGTAACTTGAAATGATGAAAACGCATCCACTCGGTTACATAAAGCTTATGTTGACTTTCTCACTATATTGAGTTGAAGGGGGATGAGAACACAGTGATGGTGAACGGAGAACCAGCTTTGCAAATGCCTGTGGTTGAGGCAGAATCGCGATTCTGCAGACGCCAGCCATCGTCTATCATGTGGTGGTATAGTGTCTGTCTTAGGGAACAGCAGCTCGCAATGGATGGGCAATACGAGCAAGTGGCGAAAGGGTAATGGCCGAGACAGATAGTTGGGTTGGAAATGAGCTCGCCAATGGTACAGTTGAGATGATCGAGCCAAAAAAATGCAATAACTGTCGCAAAGTAAGGGGCCCAGAGCATCTAGGGTACACGTGAATAGATAAGTGATCGAGGAGACTATTTACTCGACTAAATCCCGGCTTTCAGTCTGTATGAGGTCAGTTGAAGCACACAGGCATGGACTATCGATCGCGGTTTGATCATTTTTGCTCAAACTCACCATAACTGCTTTGGCTAGTCCGGAGACAAGGCAGGGTAGGACCAAAAACTGCTCATCGTCTTGTTTCCCACCCACCACGGATGCTGAGTTGAGCATTGCGTTCAAACGGTCGGGGTTGTTGGTCACCAACGAGCAAGGTTGCGCTAACATGCACAGTTTGGCATCACAGGCGGAAAGGTGGGCCTCACTACGACGTCGGTAACAGCGCTGCAATGCGGCTTTTAAAGTCTCAGGATCGCGGAACTGAAACAATACAAACAATAAGACTAAAAGAAGTGGTAATGGAATACAAGGTTAGTATAAGCGAAGCGGATACAAAAATTGCGTGATGCTTCTGTTGGAGGATGGTGCTCTAGATCCAGGGACAAAGACTTCATCCACGGGATCAACATACCGGAGCGCATGAATGTGTTAGTGGTACAGAATGCTTAAATAAAAATTGTCATCGGCTCAAATAAATGGCTGTCAAGCATCTAAAAGTGGGCTGCATGGAACTTTCTTTCCAGCAGCACCGGATGATGCTTCGTAAACTTTTGGTCTGGTGGGGGAATCTAGGTAAGGACCTTTCGACTATGGTCGGCGTGAACAGCCAACGGAGACCTCTGTTCTGTGCGCAGAATCAACGAACATTATTTGCCTCACCGAACACACTCATCTCGTAGTATAATGGACAGGCATTGGTAGATTGCTGTTCAGTAGAAGCAGAAAGATAAGCATACACTTACACTGATGCAATCTTGAAGCTGATGCAATGTCGGTGGCGATCGAGGTGACGAACTGTGAACAGCCAGGTTGGCATGATAGGTCGGATGGTATGTAGAATGTTGCTGTTCTCCTTTACTGGAATGCATTCCATCCAGAGACGTGTCCGTGGACCACAATTCCACGGAAAGTGCCACCGATCCGACAGTGCCTTTCTGACCGGTGGTATCGGACGTTTCCGCTTCCGATGTAGGGAAAGTTGAGGAAAATTGGGATTCCAAGTTTGTCCGCATTGCGTCCAGAAGCCGAGGCACAATATCGTCTCGCATCTGTCTCGCTGTGGGCAGTTCGTGTTGACTGAGCAAGCCGAACAAACGCTGTGAGAAAGAACGGAGTAGATGGGAAACAGGTGTGTCGCACACATACACACAAACACACAGATGTGGGCAGGTGTGGAGAGACAGGGGCAATATCATACTTCTCAAATACGCCTCGTATACCATCAGTTGCTTTGCAGTGCATTTAGAACCCGCATTCGCTATGCTCAACTGGGGCGTACTGTCAACAGCTCTGTGCTACTCCCCACGTCCCTTTAGTCATGAGTCATGTGTGTGTGTGTGTGTGTGTGTGTGTGTGTATGGGGGAGGACCGGGTCTAACTGGAAAAAGAGAAAGACCAAGACTAATGTCAATGCATCGAATGGGGGCGCGTGCCGTGCCCCACTTTGACTGACCATTTTGTGCATACTACCACACAGTCACTGACGGTTGTCATGATCGCAGCGTTGACAAGGCCAGCTGACCGGTTGTTAGTTAGGGTCCCACGCGGTCGCTTCCAGAGTGCCGCTGTTTGAACCCGCATCGTTTCCGCTGCGTTTTGACGAAAATATTCGGCTTACTCTTAATTTTAGGTCAGTGTGAGATGACAAGGTGGCGGACGAGTGCACGAAAGCACGGGCGTGCCGTCGCCGCTTCACCTGACACAGGCACCATCGTCTCACCAGCAACAAATATCGGGTGGAAAATTATCAACCAAATCTCGCTTGTTGCTGGTGCTCATGTGTGTGTGTGTGTGTGTGTGCGTTCGCGTGTCCAACGTACGAACATAATGAGGGATTCGTTCACCTGTATGTGCTTCGCGAGGGCAGCGAACAGCCATAGCAACAACAGTGTCCGAGCCACGCGCGTATTGAAGGAGCCAAACAGCAAATGCGGGTCAAGAGATGAAAGTCAAAGATTTACGACAAGCGCCGACCCGGTTGTAGCATCTGTTGGACTCACTTTCACGCTCGAGAAACAGTTCGCACGACACGAATGAGACACCACAATGCACATTCGATGAGTTGCTGATTGTACTGTGTGCACGCTGGTGGGTACGGAAATGTGCGCAACGAGGCGGCAGAAAGTACGGGCTTCAGCTAAACAGACAAGAACACAATCAGGCTGGAGTGCGTCTACAACCGCCGGGTGCAAATCACCATCTACCTCGGTACAGAAAAGCAATTCATCTATAATTAACCCCAATTGATCAAGTACATGCCCTTTCGACCAACCATACAGCTACCCGGTACAAACGCATCGTGCAACCGCACCCGAATTAGATCAGTGACTGCACACATGCACACAGACATTAGTGACTGCACACATGCTCACAGACATTAGTGACTTCTGGCTCATATGTCATAATGACCCTCTTTGAGTGATTAGCACTTTTCTCAGTTTAAAAGTCACATCCTTCTCTAAATGACCAGCTCGTATGATCACATACAGTGCTGGGTAGGGCGTTCGATCGATCTCTCAAGGAATCTGAGCTGGAATCCACGTAGCGTGGTATTAGAACCGGCGCGTTATGGTTATTTTATAGTTTCGACAAGGGGGGGGGCTTAGCATTATGGACAAAAATGAGACGTCAGCAGCATGCTCTTACCTTGAATCCTTCACCCTCAATCACTTCCGGTGGCTGTAAATCTCGTATCAGATAATACGCAAGGTGCTCCACGAATAAGACCCGTTCAACGGTAGCCTGTCTGGGGTGGTAGCTCGAGGCCCCTCTCGACGATTCGGTGGGATGTGAGATGTCTTCCGCGATTGAATTCAAAGATCGCAGGTCAGTTGCACACTGCTCTGGAGAAGTCTCACCGTCTGTAACCAAACGCCGCTTCTGTGAAATGATGGAAGGTATAGCGGTAATTCAAAAAAGTGGTTAGCCTCATTAATTAAGACTAATAATACATTTGGACTTAATATTCAGACATGTGAATCAAAAACTACGAGAAGTTAGCCATGATTTAGCGTCAATACTATGATTTCTCTTTACAATGTCAACGGCTCTTGGCACATCGCACTGAACACGTTTACCTGGGTACCACTTTGTGTCAACAAGCCGAAGAGCTCACTCGCTGTCCGTGAACACGCCTCGAAGGTGGTGGTGGTGGTGGTGGTGTACGTCCGCCAGTGCAACCAACGACCAAAACTCTCAACTGGTCAGCTGTTGTGATTAGCAATCATGCTTGATGGTTTTGCATACATCATCGTGGGGTCTGGGAAAATCGCAAACTAGTTTTGAATTGTACATGCTTCTCGGTTTGAACACACCGCCGCCCGAGAGCAGCTGGTCAGTGGAGAGCAGCGTATGTGAACTATGACACCGAAAATTGCGTGCACATACAAACCGCAAAGAGAGTACAATCACAACGCGATGCTCATGTCCTCGCGTAGATCAGGTTCGGACCACCTGCGAGTAGATAGCGTCGACAGTTGGCTCTCATCCGAACACCCCGAGGGTTGGGTGATGGTGTGGTGGTGACGATGGTGGCGATGGCATTGAAGTACCACTAATTCGCTTGTGAACACGTGTGTGTGTGTGTGTGTGTGTGTGTGTGTGACCAGGGTTGAAAAATCAAATCGACTAAATGAAGAATTCGTCCGACATAAATCTCTCCGCACTCATGGTGTTACCCACGATTGGGGGTGAGAGGATGGTGTAGGAATGGTGTTGACTTCGATCGGAGGGACAAAGTGTCCCCAGCGGTTGGGAAATTGGCGCTGAAGGCGGTCACGTTCAAACACCATCCGAGCTACACGGCGGATATGCACACCGTCCTTATGCGTGCCCAAGACATCTACGGTGGGTCAATACTCTAGGTCAATTGTCTCGATTTCTAATTACAACGGAGCAATACACAAAACAAAAAGGATCATGTTAGTGTGGATAACTCACTTGATCAAATTGTGGCGATATGTACATGGGTCGAGCGCGTTTTCGTTTGGCAGACGCAACCAAGGGGACACCATTCTCCATAAAGGTGTGCATTGTCGACTGACAAAGATCGTTATTCGTTTGCATCACTGTGGTCGTCTCGTTTCTTGGTGTGGAAAGATCAAGTGAGTCTGTGGCATTCGAATCTCTAGCTTGGATGAAGGACATTGAGGCTTCGTTGCAGTTGATGCCACAAACTGTGGACAAATTGGTCTCTGAAGATTTGGGTGAGCCCAAAGAGACGGGAGCAAACAGATTCGGGGTGGAGCAAGAGGGATGAGAAGCAGATGACACCGTTGGTGGCCGGTGCATGGGTATTTTGTGGTATGGCGGTGCCCCCATACCTTGGGTAACGTCCACAGGCGGTGAAGTGATCAATGAGGGCTCCCCCGTGGACACTGCAACTGTTGTGTTGGGGCGATGCATGTGGGACCAGGCGAGAAAGCGATCGGATGCGGCTTTGAGCCACTGCTGTTGATGTTGCAAATGTGGCAATGATTCGGCAAACGCTCCAATGGGGATGGGTAAGTGCGGTTTCAATGGCAAGTCCTTGACACCATTGGCCGGGTTACTACCGTTCATTTTGACGGTCCCGTTAGGCAAGGACTCTGCCTCGTTGGAGAAGGCACTGAGAAGGGCTGTGGAACCGGCCAACATGTCCGAATCACTGAATGGTTTACCGTTGGCCAGACCGGTAAATAGAGCGTTGGCGACCAACCATTGTTGATGCTGCTCTTGTAGTTGCTGTCGATGCTGCTGCTGCTGATGTTGCTGCTGCTGCTGGCTCATCGCAGCGTAGCCACTAAGCTGCGGTATGAAGTTCATCAGATTCCAAAAATTGGCTGACGTAGTGTGGGATAAATTAGGCAAACCATGCGATAACGTAGCGCCTGCGTGGGACTGTACTCCCTGATGCAAGCCACCAACTGCGTCCTGCCGCGGATGGCCCCCACCAGAAGATCCCTCATTAGGATGCCCCATGAACGCGTCCGTAGAAGCTTTCCCTGTGGGGCTGTTAAGCGTAGAACCATGTCCATTTAGCGAGATCTGATTAATGGGAGCCGACACGTCACTATAACCCAAAAGCTGTCCGGTGGGAAGCGTCGAATGCTGCGTGTCATGCGTGCGTGACTGTCCCTTTTGCTGTCGCTGCTGCTTTTCGTGTTGTGCGCCAGGCCAATGGGGCGAAATGACGTTCCGGTTGTCGGCTGAGTTGGGCGGTGAGGCACTTGTAGTTGGCGTCTCAAACGGACTGCTCACACTCACCCCAAGACCGGAACTCGATGAGGGGGATAACTCATGCGAGACGGGGCACTGAAGTTGACCCGAAGCCGTCGCGGTTGACAGCGGTCCGTTTGACAGCGCACACATTGCGCGCATTGGAAACGTCCGGTTAAAGAAGGGGAACGGGAGCATATTGTTGGCGGCCATGGTTGCTATCAGGTTGCTGTCCGGTTGATCCGGTAGTAATCTCCCATGTAGAGATGCTGCCGATATCCCGGCCGCGTTGGTGAACAATGAGTCGATGTCGCTGCGTAGATCGTTTTGACTCGATCCGTGATACGTGTCTTCATTTGTACCATTCAATGTTTCCGTCTGAAGCAATATCCCATTGAGTAAAGCTCGTTGGTCAGGTAACCCTGCATAACATGCCAGCTTGGGGGTGGGAGAAAGAAAAAATGAAAGGAAATACACTGATAGGAATGAGTTAATGTGATGAAAGTAGTATGGAGGCAAGAACAGCTGATTTAAACTCACCTGAACAAATTTGTGTGTGGTTAAACCTAACGAAGAGTTCACACACACACACACACACACACACACACACACGTGTACACGTGTGTGTGTGCGAGTTCGGCGCGTACTTTTCACTACAGTGCTTGCGCACTTAGAGCAGAGCTCGTTTTGTGGTTGTGAAAACCGCAGAAACGGTAGCAGAACTGAGGCAGCTTCGATCGGTAAAGTAGCGCTGATGAAATTCCACTGAGGCTCGTCTACGTCATCAGGCGGGATGTAATTGGCGTCAAGGTGACGACAATTTCGCATACGAGCGAGCAAGCGCGAGCGTGCGACGGGGACAGTGAGCTCGCCTGTTCGCACTCTATAACAAGTCGTTCATTCAGTCGGATGGAAAAAATGCTGATTGCCACGTGATGGAAGTCACCGAATATTGTTTGGTGAATACTACACAAAAACGGCACATAACACACCGAACGGTTTCTGAGTATACAGAACAGTCTGAACTACGAGCTTTGTCGGCTGGGAACACCACCACCACCACCACTACCACACATCAATTGGGCCCAACATCCGACGACATAATCCCATTCCTGTTACCTAGTCATGCACGTATGTGCGACCCAAGGGAGTACCATGTCTGACGCAAATGCGTTCAAACATTTGAATGCCATGGAAGAGGGGGGAATGAGAGCTGCGTTTTCAAACCGCAGAATGGTTGCGACATCAAGCAGCCCAGGCGTGAGGGCGTTAACACCCATCGTATGTTTGGGAAACCTATTCAAACAGCACTCGTGAAAGTCACCATGAATGCCGTCCCGGCTCTCTGGGACCGGATTCTGCCTCAGCGCGATGAAGTCAATTGACAGAATAAGCTATTGTAAATATTCTGAAAGTAAAACAAGCCATCTGAAGAAACTGGACTTTACGTTAAAGTACACGCATGCTCAAGTTGCGTTACATCGAGGTATAAACTAGAAATAACGTCCCTCTAGAGCAAATTCAGGCACATAGCTGACACATATAGCTGGGTCCCAAAGTGTAATGGGATAGCACCTGGTCCACATTTCTGTTAGAAAGTGCGACATACAGTGTACGGGGGGTGTACATATTGATCAAATTCTCTACTCCAAAGCAACCACGACCAGAATGTCGAAGTGTAGAGCGACCGGGTAGCCTAGTGCACTGAGAGCGAACAGGCGAACGGTGTGTTTTTCGCGCAAGTCAGCGGTTCTCATAAATACTCACGACGTTGCCTTTCGCCACTGTGTCAGCAAGTTCGATCCGGCTTGAAAGCACTTTCACAGCACCTTTGTTTGAGCACATGAAAGATCGTGAACACCTTTGCGTGTACGTTACAGGTGGTGAAGCGTGTGTGTCCGTATGTGGACGAATGTCTACACGTATACGTACGTATGCATATACCTATTGGTGCAGTACACTTACTGTACAAGTTAGGTTACAGGCATGAAGCACATGTAAGGGTGAGCATACTCTCTCTCTATGTGTGTGTGTGTGTGTGTATGTAGACAACGATGTCCGTACGAGTATAGTGTTCGGATCGATAATCGAAATGTTGTCGAGAGGTAGCCAACATTTGGGCACTTTCGCTGTCATTAGCACCATTTAACTGTATTTCAACTGTTCTTCCGCTAAGCTGTGGTGCACGGTGACTCGGAATACAACACACTAGGGCAGCCACAAGCTGGTCCCAGTAAAACGAACTTCACCGTTGCGCGAACCACTCAACGCTCGTCAAACACACCCTCCGAGCGTCTTGTCAACAGAGTAGTGTAAAACTCAGCCTTCGTCTCGTACGGAGCGAATGAACTGCTGAGCAAACTGCTAGGTACAATCGTGGCCATCTCTACATCTGAATGGGTCGGAAGCCCAAACATACGAAAAAAACAACTACTACCTATGCGCTCGCCGCACACACACACACACACACACACACACACGTACACATAAGCACGTTACTGCGGTTTTATGCGACACCGGAAGTGACTATTCCTGAGACGAAGGTACTGTGGGCTACTGGCGAGTGTATGGGTGTGTAACCGCACTTGTTCAACTCCGCGGTTGATGAAAACAGTCAACCGCCCCCATCACCTGGCTCAAGGAGCAACGGTCGACGATGTGCGCGGAGGGGGGAGTTTGGGAGTGCGTCGAATGACAGGAAATCCTATACTACTTCCACCGTTCCGAGTGCCAATCTTGGCCCGCTCGTTGATCGCGATGGGAATGACATTCATTCCAATGAGACCAAATAGGACAGTGAAGGAGACTGGGGGGGGGGAGAGGAGACAAGTCGGAAACGGAATGTTACTCAGGTTTGTTTGATTAATCAAGGGGAGTAAGTTTTGGCTTAGCTAGACTTTCCGTACCACTATACACTACGATGTGATACACTGAGATCAGTGGTGTATTCGCAGAACAATAAATTGAGAAGGTAACGGATTAAATGTTTAATCAGATAAACAAATAGGGTTGAATTTTGTTGACCGGAGACACAGTTTGTCGCCCAAACCCGTACTCGTCTACTGTAGGGACGTTATCCTCCATGTGAGAGCGCATTTGGTTGCACTATGATAGGAAAAACATTGGGGACAAATCTACATGATGCACGGGAAATACAGTCACATAGGGGCGATTTGCGTAACCACTCAAGTTTCGAAATTGGATTGAACGGCTTTCACTGTTAAGTGATCGGGACTGATTGCAGTGAATTTCGGTAGAATTACATGAGACAATTGACTCGAAATCCATCCAGGTTAAATTCGCCGAAAGAAGTAGCTTGAGGATGAAGGCCGATCGTCTGATTTGTCGAACGCGAGAAATACCAGAACGTCGAACGATCATCACTCGTGGTGAGGTGGGCGGCGTAACATAGTAACCTAAGTTCTGACTTGGAGAGCTTGCCGAACCATCTGCTCATGGTGCTAGCTGGGTGATTCCGGATTGTCCCGTTCCAGCAAATGGTTCGGCAGCAGTGTTGCAGGACGTGGCGGATTTTCGCCTGGCAAGCGTCCTCATCAACAAAAAGCCACAAATGTTTGTTTAACAACACTGCATCGTGGCGGATGTGACTCGCCACTAGAGCAATTCACTGCCCCTTGGGTCAGTCTGGCGGAGAATTGTTCCAGCAATCTGATGCTGAAACTGTGAGATTGATCCTCTGTTTGGTAACCTACCAGAGACGTATAATCCGAGAGGTCGGTCACCGGCCACCAATAGGCACGATTCCCTGACCGCGCCGCTGCCTTGCGGGGTTGGGGCCAAAAGATCTGCGTTGTGTTCCGTTTTGTTTTTCGACAACTGTACCTTCCTTTAATTTCCATAAGTTGTGTTGTCTCCATGTTTATTCGTAGAATGAAATACAGTACATTATGATAACACTATACGTTAAACACGGTTTTAGATAAGGAAAATGTGTTGAGTCGCAAAAACGGTTCCCATGTAAGGAGGGGACTTTACTATGGACGCAGTCAGTTGAGCCGAGATAAACAGGCTACATTGCATGTGTTAATTTTGTCTCTATGTGTGTACCATACAGGACATGTAGGTGGGTTTACCTTCTTCTAGGATACATTGCACACGCCAAACCAAGGCGGTGCCCATCCAGGAACAAAACAGACAAACTGAGTTTATATGTTTGTCATATCCGAAGTAAGTTACATCGTGACAAAACAATTGAACAAGCACCGGACGTCCATCGTGTGTCAGGAAAGGGTCGATACACACGGGAACCCTCGAGAACCGGTAATTAGCCCATGAAGACGAAGGACCGCTCCAAGCCCGGTTTAACTATGAATGATGCATACTCCGGGGACCAGAGCGGCGCATTGCGCCATCTCCAAAGTGACCGCTACTGGGAGACATTAATTATTCAGGAGCAGACTGTCTGTGCGGTTGGTATAAATTGTGGGTGTGGCGCAGGTGATACTATCCGTTGGGCCTCGTTCACACAACCTGTGCGTGTGTGACCTTTCATCTTAGGGCGTGGATTTGACAAGTGCCCATACGAGCGTTGTGTAGCGCTTCGCACCTGGTTAGGCCCGGTGTACTCAGGGGGATAATCGACTTTGACAACCGATCAACAACTTGCAGTACACGGTTTGTCACTCAACAGGTATTCCGATGAGGTATACTGTGCTGTGTGTGTGCGTCTGAGGTCCCACCATCGCGGTGCGGTTAGTATAAACAACCGCGCGAAGCGCACAAAATGGGAAATGGGCCCAGTGTGCATTGCACTGCGTTCTTAAGTTTGTGTAAGTGTGCGTGCGTGCGTGCTGGCAAATAAAAGCTTTCGATCTCGATTTGACAAATGACGCGGCTCGGGGGACAGAAAATGCAGTGTTTGCAAGAATCGCTGGGAAGATGAGAGAGAGAGGAGAGGCTGCGTCAAACGGAGCTGGTACTGACTGTTTATGCCCAAATCTCGTGGGATCGAATGTGGTCAGACTTCCGGTGGCAGGAAACAGGGGTGCGATGATCATGACGTTGATGTGGATGAAGTATAGGTACGATCAACACCTGCAGTCAGGCTCGTCGTCCTATAGACGCCAAGCTCTGGGGCAATATGTCAGCGACCAAACCATTCCTACACAAATAACTTTTCGTCTCATATAGTGGGCATCGTGAAGTGTGAGTTTATACAGATGGTTTAGGTGAGATCCTAGACTTGAGTCCTTAGTAGATAAGATTCTGCTCATATGCAGGATAAGTAAAAGTGTCACTCCCGGTGTGACTAACCCTCTAACTGACTTGATATTTCCGGTTACATAAATATGCAACGGCGTTCCGATTATGTCTAAGCTAGTCTTTGAAAATCTGTCTAAGGACACACTCACTTTAGAGCCAAAACGAGAATGATGGGCAGTGCGTTAATGTGAGTGGAGAGAAGAATTCGTTGCCCG